AATTTAGGACCACATAGAGGATGGGTATTTCATGACATGTGTTATCCTCGCTAAATAAAGTTTGTTGTTGCTGTTATTGTTATTATTATTATTATTATTATTATTATTATTATTATTATTATTATTATTATTATTATTATTATTATTATTATTATTATTATTATTATTATTATTATTATTATTATTATTATTATTATTGGTACAACATGCAATTGAACTGTATATATATATATATATATATATATATATATATATATATATATATATATATATATATATATATATATATATATATATATATATTGGAATGATGGATACACTGTGTAATCAGCATGCATATATTACGACGAAGGTTACACTGTGTAATCAGCATGTATACATTACGACAATGGGTACACTATGTAATCAGCATGTATACATTACGATGATGGTTACACTGTAATCAGCATGTATACATTACGATGATGGGTACACTGTATAATCAGTATGCATTGTGTAATCAGCATGTATACATTACGATGATGGGTACTATACGGTGTAATCAGCATGCATATATTACGATGATGTGTACACTGTGTAATCAGCATGTATACATTACGATGATGGGTACTATACGGTGTAATCAGCATGTATATATTACGATGATGGGTACACTGTGTAATCTGCATGTATACATTACGATGATGGGTACACTGTGTAATCAGAATGCATATATTACGATGATGGGTACACTGTGGAATCAGCATGCATTTTGTAATTAGCATGTAAATATGACGACGATGTGTACACTGTGTAATTAGCGTACATATATTACGATTATGGGTATACTGTGTAATCAGCATACATATATTACGATGATAGATACACTATGGAATTAGCATGTATATATTACGAGGATTAACTGTCAGAACATTTCCAAAATATTGTCTCCTCTAGTATTTTTCTCTTCTGTTTTTTATTTTTTTATTTTTAATTGAAATCTTGCGCAATGAAGAATGAGTTTAAAACAACCTCATTGCACGAATGATTATGCCTGTTGTTTTCAAGACAAAGCAATAAACAATAAGAAAAGACTGAATTGGACGACTCAACAAATTTGTAAAGTCTAAACGTGAATAATCGATACAATGGTTTTTAAAACGAGACACGAAAATAGCACCACGACATCAATGAAAGCTAAGAAACGTTTACAAAGAGACAAGACAAAGTGATAAAAGAAATGGAATTAAAACTTGTCAGGAATTGATGACATGTATATCAAAGGTCTTGCAGTATGGGTGTGTCATGGAGAAATGTTAATTTCAAAACTGGTTATAAACTGTTATATTTTTAACGAATACTTTTATTGCTTCTTTTATACCTTATTCATTTACCTGTTGTTTGTTCGGAGATTGTTTTACGTTAAATCTACAAGATAACCCATTCTTTATAAATAGGCTTAGCATACACAAACTACTCGTACCAAGACAAACTACTCGTACCAAGATAAACTAAGTTCATATCCTTATTTATTATAAGGTTTGCGTCATGCATCTCGTTATTGTATCCTAGATAAAGCATACTCACGTGATCTACAGTGCACATGACTTGGAAATGTGAAGTCTTTTGCAGGATTAGAATGCAGTGCTAATATTTGTTTACGATACAATTTAGAAATGATTTCTTACTGATTAGCTGGAGAACGAAATAGCTATTTGACTTATCTAAATATAGAAATACTGCACGTCATGATTTGTACACAAAGAATTCATCAACGCTCCTAGTTTCAAGCCACCTGATTAGACCAACTTGACACACCTCTATCATTGTAAGGTGAATGTCAACGAAAGATGTTTATTTATTTACTGTACACAAACGTGATATCGTAATGTCGGCTTGAAAATGCCAGCAACTCGGTCAAGTCAAAAATAACAGAGCTGGAAACAGTGCCAGCTTAGATTACCTAATAATTATTTATAACAAGAACAAAGCCAAGCTTCCCAGATACTTTGCCAAGAACTTTTAACAACTGTTGGTCGATCATCTAAGTACTCTATCTATCTATCTATCTATCTATCTATCTATCTATCTATCTATCTATCTATCTATCTATCTATCTATCTATCTATCTATCTATCTATCTGCCTGTTCGTCCTTCCATCCGTCTAACCGTCCGTCCATCCATCCATCCATCCATCCATCCATCCATCCATCCATCCATCCATCCATCCATCCATCCATCCATCCATCTATCTATCTATCTATCTATCTATCTATCTATCTATCTATCTATCTATCTATCTATCTATCTGCCTGTCCGTCCTTCCATCCGTCTAACCGTCCATCCATCCATCCATCCATCCATCCATCCATCCATCCATCCATCCATCCATCCATCCATCCATCCATCCATCCATCTATCTATCTATCTATCTATCTATCTATCTATCTATCTATCTATCTATCTATCTATCTATCTATCTATCTATCTATCTATCTATCTATCTATCTATCTATCACAATAATGCACAATACCAATACTTCTGCATGTAAACATTACATATTACTATATTAACCAATGATATTATGCATTTGTTTTGAAGAGCGACTTTGTTCAAAACTTTCTTTTGATGACTACAACCACCTTACAAGAAAAAGTTCAAAGAATAATGGACATGAATACAAAATGTTCACAGTTGCCAATTTCTCACTAGTTTTTAACAAATTTTACAAAATAATGCAGATAAAATATTAATTTTAAACAATCCGTAAACATTCTCCTGACTCGACATGCCATTATATGAATAAAATATTAATGACTATCATTTTAATATATTAAAACGTTAATTTATTGTATTTTTATTGTACAGTCATAAACGAGTCCTAACAGTAGCATACCTACCTACCTACCTACCTACCTACCTACCTACCTGCATGCATGCATGCATGCATGCATGCATGCATGCATGCATACATACATACATACATACATACATACATACATACATACATACATACATACATACATACATACATACATACATACATACATACATACATACATACATACATACTTTCAACGCTTGCACACATGTACTTTTCCTTGGCCCAGAGTGGCCAAGTGGTCTAAAGCGCTCTCCTTTAAGAATCACTGCCACCTCACCTATATCTGCGTGGGTTCGAGTCTAAGATTCGGCGAATATGGATATGTGAGAAAACTTACCTGTAGCTCGTGGGTGGGTGGTTCTTTCCGGGGTTTTCCCGGTTTCTTCCTCCACCAATAATACTGGGCACCATGTATCGTGTACTGAAAAATGGCGTTGAGCCCCACAACAACAACAACTTTTTCTTGTATGCGTTCGACTTGTCCCATCACCGTTTCAGTATTAGGATTAATACGTCAGACAGGTGGACATTTCAATTTTGAATAACTCACGAAACCCCAGTCAGCAATGCCGACAGCCTAACTCCAGGAACAACTCAAGGTCAAATATATAATAATTTAATAAATTTTATTTTTAATTATTTCACATTGTTTGATGTTAAATTTAAGGGAAATAAACTTATATTTTTGTATAATAGAAGGCTTATTGGGCTTTACCTTTTCTTGTTACATAGTTTAAGTCAACCCTGAATTTCTTAGCGAGATTATACAAATTGTCTGGCATTAAAACTAACTTCACAAGATCATTTTATTTTCGATTTCCCCAAAACATGAAATGAACTGCTAAGGACTAAAGAAGCGCATTTTCAGCAGGTATTTCTTGATTCATAGTAGTGAATTATTGAAACAAAGTTTAGAACCAGGACGAGAATTCTAAACCTACCAGTCTTTGACTTCAGCGACCTATCGACGATGTCCTAATACCTGTGCTGTTCAAGTCTTACTCCATGCAGTGAAGGACCTAGACATTGGAGTATACATCAGGTATCACCTTGATGGATCCATGTTTAACTTGCGTCGGCCCTCTGCAAGAACAAGGACACTGGAAAAAACACTTCCCGAAATTAAGTTTGCAGAAGATTGTGCGCTTTTGGCAGACATTGAATTACACCTACAGACCAATGGTGAATAAATTATACGAGACATCCAGACTGTATATAAACATGATAAAACACAGACACTCCTTCAACAAACTCGGTGAAAACACCCACCACAACCCACTACTTGAGACAGATGAAGAACATGGATCTCTGGACAATGATATTACAACCAGGATGCGGACGACAAGCTAAGCCTTAGGAAGACTGCATGTCAGAGTCCTGCAGCAAAAAGACATTCTGTTGCCCAGCAAGATCAATATCAATAAAGCTGTCGTCATCATATCCTTGCTCTACCGTTGTTAAACTTGGACTACATACTGCAGACATAGTATCCAACTTAAACATCCTAAACAGGACCAGTGTTCATGGCTTTGAGGCACTAAAGCTCAGATGGTCATTCGCATGGAGAAGACCAGAGTACCGAGAAAGGGCACAAAGACAACCTTAAGTTAAACTGTAATGGTGCGGAATCCAAAACAGCGAGATAGAAACCTTGACCACGGACTGTCTGCCTGGCGGATTTTCACCGCAAAAGCAATGGAACTAGTGGAGGATGCTAGCCGCCAAAGACTCACAGCCATGAGAGAAAACGACACATCTCAGCATTCTAGCCCGTTACGTCAACAGACTTTCCATGCCCATCTTAAAACATCCTGTATGCGTCCAATTTTGCTCTCAAGAGTCACCGTGGCCTGCACAACTATCGTCATCATCGGACACGATGGATAACCAATGAATGTGCATGTGTGATTTAGATTTGTAACGTAGCTTTAGCAATTTTTCAGTCGTATCGCCACGATGTCTGCAGGGTGAGAGTTTATATTGATGTTTAACACTAGGTCATCATGTCACAGACAATTGGTCTGACGGCATAATGTCCCACCCAGTCACAATATCGTGACACCCGGCAGACAAGTCATGACACTAACCTCTTAATGCTGAGCGACAAGCGAGGCAGCTGTCGATATCATTTTTAAAGTTTTTGGTATGGTTCGAACCCAGTACTTTCCGCATACGAAGCGGACGCTCTAACCGTTAGGCCACCGGCGCGCGCGAGCGTTGATGTTTGTGTACATTTTGTGTTCCACATAAGTGTCGTTGTTTTAGGTATATTGCCAATTTTAACCACTTTATATAGGCTATATATGGTGCCCAGTAAGAGGAAGAAGCCGGAAAAACCCTGTAAGACCACCGGCCCAAGAGAATTTAATGGCAAGTTTTTCACATGCTTGCATTTGCCGAGTCTGAGATTTGTAGGAGTAGTAGTCTTTAATATGTGAGATTCTGACCCAAAACTCTTTTTTGTATTGGACGACAATTTTTCCCCCTCTCCATAGGCCCATCAAGTTAGTCATAACAAATACGAAAACAACTTTGTTGAGTCAACAAAATTTATTTCATAATCGTTTACTCGTCGAGGACATGATATTGAATCGTCTCCGTCGTCAAACAAAATAGGGGTTTGATCCAGAAACACTCAATACTTAAGACTATTCATATATTTTACACAAAAGTTTACCATGTAATTGATAGCAATAATTATATCTGATAGTTCACACAAAAGTTCGATAAATTCACTGCAATCATTCTAAAAATCTACTTTGCTAAAAACAGCATCACATTTTTTATATCCTAACGCGAATGCATTAATGCGATCAGAGCAATAAAATTTATCATTGACAAAGGTCAGATTTGTTATAACATCCATTTCCGTTTTATGACAATTTGAATTTAGTTCCTTCATTTCGACATGAACACTACAACCATCTAACGCCGACTTTTAATTATTAAATCCTATTGCCTTACAGATCAAAGTTTATTTCCCTTGGTTCGTTTCTTGACTTTGTTATCAGATAATATTACGCAATATATTTTACTACAAAATCCAATTAATTCCGTTATAATTTCATAGCAACCTCATCATTAAACTTTCTAATAGCTTTTTTAAAAATATTTTCTGGTACATCAACGTTTCTGATATCTCAAGCAGTGCAATACCGACATAAACTGGTTTAATAAACTTCAAGTTTGTTTTCCGCTAAGATATCGCGACAAGATTTTCATTAAAATGTTCATACAAACAAAATTATTAAATGCTACAAATTACTACGACGTTCAGCGTTATTAACAATTTCTATAGTCACTCGCTTTCTTATGTTCACTACGGTCATGATAAACTATGAAAACCTATGAAAATGTCTTATTATAGTCGCTCATGTACATATTATTAGCTTTGGCGTATTTTGTTGTTATTAGACTAATACCACCTCTGATCGTATGTTCGATAAAATTAAAGAAGTCAAGTTCTTTCAGGAATTCCAGTTATATTGTAATGCATCCCAGCTTAATCCCGGTTCTGAATAGGCTGGGTCAAGCCCGTATTTGCTGAAGCTGGCATCTCTGAAACTTTTAAATATATCAGCGGGCAGCAGCACACTTGTGATCAGATATAGGTCAGGATCATCACCGAAGGTTTCCAACTCATTCTAAATTTGCTGAACATAAGTATAGTTTCTCAATTTCGAAATTTGATACTCGGAAACGGGAAATACAATACAGGAAAAGTTTAGATTCTTAGAATGACAAATTAGCCTGAAACTCTATGGGTGTGCTTATTTACTGGTATTAAACCTGATAATAACGTCCATTGAAAACATTTGTTACCGTTGTCCCTGACACTGATATAACATTTCGAGTTTTTAATTTTAGTTTGCAGATTGACATATGAGCTATGAAGCAAAATTTATTTTATCAAATCTCCAGATGTTGTACATTCTTCTTTTTTCTGTATCTCCTGAAATATATCAACTGACCATGAAATTAAATTTGCTCTAATCAAAACTCTATGAGATAGCAATGCCATGTAAGGATCAGCAATTTGTTTGAACTGATGGTGTTGTTGTTGTTGATGATCGATTTGTTCGAACTGATGTTGTTGTTGTTGTTGATGTTGATCGACTAGCCGGTCTAATGATATAGTCAACTTTGAGAAACGAACATGAAATTGTACAATAATCTTCAGACCCTTGTGCGTTGCAAGCTGAGATTTTGCAATTGTTTAATGTAAATTAAACAGTTTTTAGACCAAATATTTGTTGGTAAAAGTTGATTATCAAATCTCTAACATGTTATTGAATCCGGCAAATGCTGTTGTGATGTCTTTTAGCTAATATTCGTTTTACAAACAAACATTGTTTTACGATATCTGCAAGTTTTAACATCATATAATATTGTCTTTTATATTTTTCTAATAAGTACAATACGAAATTGCCAATTAGAGAGTTGTAAAACGTATATTATTTGATGGCAAATATAAACCAACTACCAACTATTGTTTTCGGTTTTGCAGTGTTTCAAGAAATATTCTGTTTTCATCAAAATATGACCTATTCGCCCGCAATAAACTTACTTTTTTTAATAGATCTTAAAACAAAAATTGCGATCTGAGTATTAACATCAGATGGTTACAGTATAACGGTAAAAGCAGAAGCTGATAATGAATATACAAAAATTCCAGCTGGAAGAGAGAGGAATCTAAACCACATCCGGTATATGATTTGTATGAGGCTAACACAGGAGGTGTTGTCAGGAACATTATAACCAAAAAGTTCATTAATGCTAGATATTTAAAGGTGATGAAAAGCGGCGAAATCACTAGTTTTATTAATTTTTTCTCACACAGAGTTATGTTAATTTTTATGGACCTATCCCATATGGCTTACATATCGATCATAGAAATGGCATGAGGAGAGACAACCGTCTAGAAAATTTTGACATTGTCACTTCTAAAGAAAACAACAGGAGAGGTAAAGGAAAATTTAATGGTAAACAAAAAGCCAGATCAGTTATAGCAACTAACTCTTTCACAGGAGAAGAAACATTATTTTAGTCAATACACGCAGCATTAAACAGTTTAACATTAATCCACTTTCAATAAAATCTGTCGCCGATGGTACCAGAAAATCCGCTTTCTCAACAACAACTTTAATACAAATCTTTTTTTGACATTCATTTGTTGTTTAGAATATCAGCAACATCATTGTCAAGCAGAAGATGACATATTTATTAAGAGCTTCTCTATCGTACTCACTCCAAATCTTACCATATTTTAGAATGCGATCGACTTAGACGTTGTTAAGCAAAATAAGATATTTTTCCTCGTTCTACTTTGAAGTGGGCCATTGCGTTAACACAAACGCGAAACATGTTTCTTACAGTCTCTTCAAGCTAATATGTGTTTACAGCAGTAGCTAGAGTAACCAACCATCACGTTATTCAACTATGTAACATAAAATTGCTGATCGTTGATCAGTCTTTAGAATATTCTTAAGATTATGACTGATTCAGGTAACAATAGGCCCATTTCATGACAGTGTCCTTGTCATATCTGACAAAGATCATTTTATCTTTGTCGAATTCTGATACCTTGAAATTGTTAACAGTACATCAAAAGCCGAATAAGGATCGTATCCAATGATAATATTAACTTGTTTGAGATTCTTGTGATCAATGCTCATTAAAACTGTAACCGCGTCAAATAACAGGTACATATTTATTTTAGCTCGCACAATGCTCCTTACATTATCTGGTATTTTTGTTATTCATCTTATATATAATTATTATGCACAATGTCGCTGATAAAAATAATATATTTTAACGACTGTCTGAAGATTGAAATCGACTGACAACATCGCGTCAGCGTGTAGAACAATTACAACTTGATCTAGAAACATAGTTGTTTTCTGTATCTGCCGATCAACTTGCGGATGAACTAGATACTATACAAGTTTATGTCGCAGAGAAATCACGATATTGAAGTTTATAGTCGTCAAGAATATTAAATTCTATTTTATTATTGTAAAGATTTTAAACTTGTTCACAGATTTAACAGAAGATAGAAGACGGTATCTGATATTGTGTGCAGACACGTCAAACGTAGGTATGTTCTTTTAAAATATGAGAATATCTACAGCGATCTAATCGGATTGCTAGTGATCCAGTAAAAGATATTTGATTTCACTAGTTGGAATGCAACTGTTAAAACTGTCACCGTAATCACACCATCTGGCCAAACTTAATTTACCACGTTTTTTATCGCTCGTTCGAATATATATATATATATATATATATATATATATATATAGAATACAAATCATATGGCGAATAACAACCCTTTCAAGCATACTGGATCCACCAAGGGATCAATTGTGTCAGGGATTAATTAAAATAGATGCAATAAACTGACGACGAACAGTACGAAACTAGTAACTAACTAGCCTAAGCGCTTTCGAATCTTAATGAGTCTTTTTCAAAGGCAAATACAAAACTTATATACGACAAACAAATAAACACAAAAACGAATACAAATCATATGGCGAATAACAACCCTTTCAAGCGTACTGGATCCACCAGGAAGGAAGAGGAATCATACTGGATACGCCGCCTTAGAACATTGAAACCAAGCGGTCTAAACCAAGAAGACTAGAAAATGAAAACTATGCACTAGTAGAATTTAACATTTTCTAAATCTTCTTATTATCCTTCAATATTTACTATAAGAATAACCGGTATAGAATCAAATATCCGGGATATAATCTGCGTTACATATGTACAAAAAGCAAAAATAGATGTCGCTTTGGCTTGTAGACTTTTAAGGAATTATACAACGTTTTCAGTTTCCGCAACTACTCTATACAAGCTGGTTGTATTTATAGTTTTAGCACATGTGAAGACAGCCATGTAGAGGTTTACAAACACAACGTTTTTGTGTTTATTTGTTTGTCGTATATATGTTTTGTATTTGCCTTTGAAAAAGACTCATTAAGAGTCGAAAGCGCTTAGGCTAGTTAGTTTTTAGTTTCGTACTGTTCGTCGTCAGTTTATTGCATATATATATATATATATATATATATATATATATATATATATATATATATATATATATATATAGATTTATCTTGAATTGTTGACTAAAGTTCTTAGAAACTTCATATTACGTCTTCGTTTGCAAGATCTTTTAGCTTGTTTGTTACCAGTTTTGTCATT